AAATATTTTTTGGAATTTTTGTATAATCTCTACTTTTGATTAGGGTATCTGAAAATTCATGATAGTTCCATCATCTCTTATTAACAACATAGAAAATGTGTTTGCTGAACCTTATTCAATACGTTATCTTTCCAAGGAAAGATGCACGACGTTCATGTTCATTTTTCTTCGAAAGCAAAAGACTTGCAAGAGTTCAAGCCTTTCCTTTCGTCTCGTTTAATGCGTGTTTAAGTTATCTCGTTTCATAATATAAAATCGTTAGTTACAAAATGCACGGAAATTCTATTGATTGTTTCACAAACAATCAGTTCAATATATTTGAAGGGAAGTTCGCAACGTATTCAGAGGATTTCACGAGGAATTGATTCAGCGTTCGATCAATTTTGGCAAATTAATTTTAGCATTGACTTCAGAGACTGTGGTAGGTTCTAATGGGGTAGGAGAGGGTGCCAATTTCGGTAGCCGCCACTCTTTTGGCGACGCTTTTCCGGACCCAGGCGGAGTAGATTTTTCCGGAGTTTTTAATCGAAGACTGTTAGGGGATCGCGGGGTGACAGGCGACTTCGTTACTCTATCCTCGGGACTCCTCGATTGAGGGCTGTTGGAAGAACGTGACGAAGTAGGTGATTTTGCTGTTTTGTCTTCTGCAACTTTCGGCTCGGAATTATTAGGAGTACGCGGAGTAACCGGCGACTTCGGTGTTTTATTTTCTGGACTTCTCATCTGACGGTTCTCTGGAGAACGTTGGGTTTTGTTTTCCGCAGCTTTCAGTTCGATACTGTCGGGGGTACGCGGGGTAATGGGTGACCTCGGTGTCCTAGTTTCCGGGTTTTTTAATTGTAAACTGTTAGGAGATGGTTGTGGGCTTCTACCAACCGGAGACTTCGGCGGTTTGCCCTTTGGTACATTCTTGTCTTCTGAAGTCAAAAGTTTCTGATCTTCGCTTTCCATTCCTGTGGTCTCGAGGGAAAACATTTTTTTCGATCCCGTTGAATCAGGAGATTTAGCCAAACTACTCCTCACAGCTTTGGGAGTTACCACAGACGACGGTGATGGAAGCTTTTTCACTTTCGTCGGAGTGCTCGGCGGTGGGTGCGGCGGATTTTTTGTTTGCTCGATGGAAGAATTCATCTCTTCGCTTCCTTCGATCTGAAATATACCAATCGATAAATGATGATAATAAATCAAACTTTTACATATTTCCTTCTTCGCCAGGTGCTGCATCGAAAATTAAAATATTGTTTTATTTAGAAGGAAACGAGACAAAATTTATTATACGATTTATCTAAAAATATTTTAATAAAATATCACATACTCCGGAAGGTTGATAATAATTCATCGTTGAAGTGTTACTTGTGCAGACTGACCTTAAATTACAAATGCGGTGAATAGTAGCGTTGCTTCAGTGTCCATCGAATATTATATAGTGAGGGTGAAGTACACTCTGTGCTAATGTCCGAGAAGAAACAAGATAAATAGCTTCGTCGTTGAAAAAATTGTGCACTGAATTACCATTAAACAATATTGATAAAACTTGGTATAGCATTTGTGAATCTTTGAAACAGGGTTTAGTAAAAAGGCTTGGAATTTAAATTTAAAAACTAAAATATTATTATGCTGACTCTCTTGTTACGTTCACAGGTGTGTCAATCATTCGTTACACAATTGTATTCGTACGAGGATGAATACTCATAACAGTTAACGACACTTTCATGTTTATGCAAATATCGAGTGATTTTCAATATAATAATAATAATAATAATAATAATAATAATAATAATAATAATAATAATAATAGTCGATATGGAAGCAGTAAAATGATAATTAACATTCATTATACATATACTTTCATATAGAGTGTTAATTTTTAAAAATGACGCGATCGAGAGATGCCTTTCATAATTACACTCGCTCCTTATTAATTCTCATTTTCCAACTGGCTCTAAAACAGCTAATATAAGATTTAATTATTATTTATTCTGATGTATACAACAAATGGAGATAGTTTACGTATCTACAGTAACGATTACGAATTTATATCGTATTCTATTACTTAAATACAATATGAAATGTATTATTCGATGCAATCGCGTGAGATGATCTCTCCCCGCTCGTTGCACTGAATGCCTATAATGTAATTGCGCGTCGATACGGTTCTAACGTCGCGTATTCTCCTCTTACGTGCACGTTTCACGTTTAAACAGGATTTCATCTATTTTATATAATGATTTATGGTATCATTTTTAATCCGGGAGTAGGCGAGTTCAGGCAAACCTATAACATTCAATTTTATTTCCAGTTCATAGCGTTTGAATATATTTCCTGTATGACAATATAATTACACAATTCTGTATTTATCAGTTTTCATAAAAACTGATAGATGTTCAATTTTTTTACGTGGACCAACCACAAGAATCGTGAATATTCTTAGATGATGAAATTTTTCATTCCTATCAACGGCGTTGCATTTATTTGATTCTTGCATTTACATATACGTAGGTACATCAAATTTATGTTAGACACATTTATGAGCGTGTCATAAAAGTGTTAGCATTCGATTGAAAGAATAATCGCATGAATACGAGTTAATAACATATTAAAAAAACGTTTAGTAATGAATGTCGCGTTTCCGTGTTGCTACTATAGCACATCCAAAGCCTTGGTTAGTACGTATAATAGCTGGCTATTTACACTATCAACTCAAAAAGTGGCGTGACGCCTTCTTTTCTCTATAGTATAATAGGTTTAGCAAAAATACACCTACTCTCGGTCTATCAATTAAATCATCAGATGTCCGATAGTACGCGATTTGCCTGATTATGCATAAATACCTCCGCTCTACTATGATCGATCTCGTTAGAGCGAAACGATTCCGATGATCCTACGTGATCAAGATAAATGATAATTGATTTTGCTTACAGCCTTAAGCGTATCACGTTTACCGCATCTCCTTTTCAGATCGGAAAAATGTCGTTGATAATGTCTCCAAATGAATTTTTATTGCAATGTACACGATGTGGTATAGCAAACAATTATGTGACGCAGGTTTCGCCTCGTACAAATCACGATGAAAAAGGAAGCTTTGTGTCCTCCCGCTAAATATTTCCTTATCGCTCTAAAATATAGATTAGACTCGCACACTTATAAAAATTCCAGGGACATCGTAAGGTGGTTGTGTGTAAGCTGTCTGAATGAACAAGAATAATTATGCCGTGGCGAATAATGGGGTGGCTCGACGTCGTCCGTTTATGTGTCTATAATAAGAGCGCATTTTTGCAATCTGAAAAAGTGCCGCGAGCTATGTATATCTTTTGGATACTCCGTGGATAAATGCTTCAACAAGATGGAAAAAAAGATCGTTCGCCCTCTTCTTGGCGTGTGTTATGCGCTAGACACGTACGCGTGATCGATCGTACACGACGAATGCCCGGCTCGCTCCTTTTTCTTTTCCCTATTCGAACACCGTGCGAGAAAGAGCGACTCTCCCGTATGGCACGTAAAAAATCTCATTGCCATCGTCGACGCGAAATGATCACCGATTGACCTGTACGCGATTTTTTAATTGATTCGAAGCCAACGTAACGGCGCAGAACTCGGGACGCTCGGCTTGCCCCTCGTACATGAAACGTATTGATGTCTGTGCTCGTGTGTGTCTGTACGCGTGTCTGACTCCGTGAACGGGTCGATAACTGGCCTGCGATTCAATCATCGGGGAGGAAGATTAATCAGACGCAGATGACAAGGGGATCGGGTCTAGCGGCGGAGTTTTCGTGATCTAGCATTCCTGGTTGAGGTTCTCGTCCGACGTGGGTAGACCGTTGTTGCCGGCGGCGACCGTGCCAGGGGGCACAGGGCTCTGCGGGCACAACACATTCAGGATTAAGGTGGCCCATTAACCCTTCGCGTTACAAGCGTATCAAGGTCGTGTTAATCTGGGTCACGTTAAACCTTTGAAGCAAACCGACGCTCTCCGCTCCGTACGGACTCTCCTCGTCCCCACGGATTCGTTTATGAATTTTACATTATCTTTCCTCCGATTAAAATGCCAGCAATAAAAGTAATTATTATTTAATAACATTGCGGTTTGTTAATTTCATTACTTTTAGTCATGGCACAAGGATTTGGTAAATTCCAATTCTGTTCGATGTTACTACTTTCTACTAAATGATGTTTGTGCATACTAATATCTGCTGATATGAAAGCAATTGTAAGTGCTTCAAAGGATTAAGCAACCGTTAAAAATATTGATTAACAACTTATTTATTGTCCCATTAATTTCAAAAATTCATAGATACGTAAAATAGAATTTTACTCGAGAATCGATAATTTTATTAAATCTGATAACTTTTTGAATAAATGGTAAGAAAGCATGCAACGCGTGTTCTTAAGCTCTCATCGTGCCAAACGGTGCGAGTACACGTGGTACGATAAATAATCTCGAGAAAATTAATAAAAGAATTTCGAATTTGAAATTAAATAAAAAATATCATCAAAACTTGTTTCACAAGATTTTTTTAAACAGACATACCTGTGATCCGCTGCCGCTGACACTTTGTACATTCGAGCCGGTTTGTCGAAGATAACTCGTGTCGTTGAAAATCTTTTTATCACCACCACCCGGCTTATGCTTCACGTTGTCCAAGGAACCGATTTTGCTCTCAGCTTTTATATCAACTTTCTGCGTCTGAATCTGAAATCAATCATTGTCTGCAATACGTACACATTGTAGTAAATTGAATAATAGAGCGGACAGTGTAATTTGTAATTTAGTACGCAGTAATTCTTAATTGGACTCCCTCAAGCCTTTGGCGTCGTGCTTTCTAAACTAATAATTTGATCTTGACAATGAACATTTATATTATACTTGGGTACCTACTGGTTTTAAAACATGCAGGAACATGCTTTAATTGATCTCTTTAAATTGAATTTACTTACCTTAGAGCATATACTACTGGAGGCAGCTTCCATTATTTCCATTAACAAGAGAGATATAGTTTGTCTACATGCTCTCTTTTTTCATAGCACTGGATTGGCCAAGACCTTCCTCCTCGAAATAGCCTCTTTCGTATAATTTATTAACAAGTAAGGGGAGCGTTTTAGCCAATGCCTTGCTGTGAAAGGGAGACAGCATGTAGCGAAACATTTCTACCCTGTCTACACCTTCAACGTCTGAGAAATTACCTCCAGTAGTACATGCTCTAAGTTACTTACTGTAAAAAGAGTACATTCGAATTCGGTAAACTTTGTAATTTTTAACGAGGACAACAGAGAGATACACAGAGACAACAAATATTAGTTTAAATAGTCACGGCAGCTAACGGATTAATTACTCCCTTCAGAATTTCGTGATTTACGATCCAGATTATGTAGTGGAGGATATTGTGTGATGAGATAATTTGATGTACTTACGCCGTTGTTCGTGTCCTGTGGCGTCTTAGGTGGCGTCGCCGATGACTGAATACCAACAAACAATAATGACTTGTTAATAATGACAGGTGACAATGCATGCGAGAACGAGGGGCATGGCGGTCGCTCGCTAGAGTAAAGGGCTATGTCAATCTGTAGCTGATGATGCAGTCCGGGGGTCCTTGTTTGAAAAAGATATTCTAATATATGCTCAAGATTTCTTCACATCAAGAAACGCTAGACGCCGAGTTCGTCGTTAATACATTTTTCTTGATGCTAGAATTCTTGTTTTCTATCAATTTTAATAATTAGCTGATAAAAATGTACAAAATGCAGGTCTACATTAACATTCTGTATTACATGCGTGGTTTACTAAAAATATGTATGATTCTCTATTTGACCAAACTGTAACTCTCGTGACGTACATGACAGAATTATTATTGTATGTATTAC